GTACGGCGACCGGTGCCCCACACGGTGTTTGCCCTTGGGATTTGCTCATCCTGCAGTGCCCCGTATGAGTTAGAGCCGTTGCAGGGGAAAGGGGGCACTGTGGGAGCACTGCCTGGAGAAGGATATGCTCTTAGTAACTGTTGGAAGCCTTTTTTTTTTTTTTTTTCTTTCCCCAATCTTAACATTTTTATTTTTGAGGAAAAATAAAAAAGGGGAGGGAACTGTCTTGCCAAAGTTTTCCATGTTTTCTCTTGTTGATGTTCACATTGATTTCACCTCTGATTTTCTGCATGATTTTCCTGCATGATTTGTTCCTGCCCAGATTTGTTTGTGTTTAACCCAAAGCTGTCTTCTCCCATGCTCATCATCCTGAACCCGGTGGTCCCACAGGACGTAGGACTCCCGTACCAGAACATCCTCCAGGGCGTCCTAGTTCTCAGAGGAGCTTTTAGAGGCAAATTATTTGGTAATAGCGCGTCTGCTTGAGCAGGAGGTAGGAAGATGCGCTGCTCTGCAGCTGAGCGAGCCGAACCCCAGCGTTGGGTTTGCGGGAAGAGGTTTGTACGGAAAGGGTGCAGACATACAGGGAGAGGAGCTCTTCGAGCCTGGCTAGCCCTAGACTGTGGCCACTTAGTAGCTGTGAGCTGGTCCCAGTTGGCTGCAAGCCCTTCTTCTCCAGGTGAGTCCCCTGGTGTGATGAGCAGCAGGTGTAGCCATGTCCTTGCCACCCAAGACTGGAAAGTTGCCCTTTGCAAGCCCTGAGCCTGAGGAGGAAGGTGGGAGGCACCAGCTGCCCATTTCTTCTGACCACGAGGCCAAAGTCTGCTACCTGGGGCAGTTTCTGCTGCCGACCTGTCCCTCCTTGCCAGTTGGCTCCCTGTTCCTGCCCCGAAGACCTGGTGCCGTGGAGGAAGGCCATGCTCCATGCTCTTACCTCTCCTGACCTGCCTGAGGAGGCCATGTGCCATGGCGGGCCACCAGCTCAACTCCAGCCTTGGGCAAGGGGGACCTCATGCACCCAGCCTGGGCAGTCACAGGAGACTGTTGCCTGCAGTTTGGGGTGTCAGCCCACAGCTCTGTCCCCACTCTGGCCACCCTCAGCCACCGGTGTGATGATCCTGAGGATGAGGGTGCTGGTGACATCAAGTTGCCTGGCCCATGCTCCTACCCAGAGTGATGTTTGGTCCTGGATTCCTCTGTTCGTGTAGGACTTTGCCCCTGTCTCCACACAGTCATGCCCAGAGATGCTCCTGAGCTCCAGGGGACACAACTGTCCCCAGGTTGAGCCATCTTCTTCCTTGGCTGAGGAGGAGCCCAGACAAGAGCCCACCCCACCAGATGACCTTCCACAGTGATTGCAGTCCTTGTAACTTGATGAGAAGACCATTGCTACCAAGCAGCCATGGGGCCAGGCTAACTCTCCATGCACACCATACTGTCCACCTTGAGAGGGCTGTCCCTCATGGCCACCGTTTTCTGAAGGGTTCCCAGCCCCCTGTAAGGTGTCTTGGAGGTTTTTCCTGCTGCACTGTGGGCAAACCTGCCCAGTCCCTGTCCCACTGTCCCTGTTGTCAGCTGCCCTGGTCTCCCCTGCCTGCAGCATCCCAGGGTTCCAGGCAGCTCCTGAGGGGGCTGAGGGTCCCCTTCTCCATCCCCCTGTTGGACTGGAGCTGTGCAGCAGCAGCACTGGGATGTGCTGGGAGGTCCAGAGCCCTTCCTCCACCCTCTAGCTCTTCGGGGTGGGATGTGCCTGAATGCAGTGGCTCCTTCCGGTGCCTGATCCTCTCTCTGCAATTGAGCTCATGTCTGCTCATCCAGGTTTGGGATGGGTTGGAGGTCAGCCAGAAACCCGGCCCGCATCCCTCTCCTGGGCTTGTCCACAGTACTCGTCACTTCAGCGCATCCATTCAGCCTGCCCATGGCTCTTGGCCCTTCTTTGGTACAAAGGCTCAGCTGCACGCCCCATCTCCACCGGCCTCAACTGCTCGTGAGTTCAAGAAGCTGCCTGACTCCTGTCTGCGGGGTTTGTTGGGGCAGCCATGGATTCCTCATCAGTTCCCCCTAGCTAGGAGTGTCAAGCCGGTGTGACATCACAGCATGGGCCTGTCATCGCCTCTTGTAGCATGTCGTGATGTGTTTGCCTTCCCTCCGGCAGACGGGGTGGCAGCGGGTGTCCCCATGCCTGCTGGGCGCTGTCTCTGAAGGAGCAGGTCCTCCAAGTGAACCTGATGGAGCTCCACAGCTGGGAGTGCCTTCAAGGGTGTCGCACAGCATCCAATTGGGTCACTGTGTGCCATAGATGTAACCAAAGGGCCAGGAGAGCTTGGTGGTGCTGATGTCTCCGGCATCTCTTTGCACAGTCCAAGCAGGACCAGTCTCCTGCCTGAGCAGCTCTGGCTGAAGCTGTAGGAGATCTGGAGAGATGTAGCCTGCAAAGAGGATCAAACTCATCTTCTCTCCAATGCTCAGATGAAACCACCCTGGAGTCCCTTTTGAAGCTGGTGGGGCAGGTTCTTCCCTTATCTTTGGGAAGGTTCACCCAGCTGCTCTCCCTCCACCTGTAGATGAAGCGTCCTTGTTCCTATGCACTGGTTCATGGGTTCCTGGAAGAGCTGACCTGTGCAAACCTACCATGACCCTGCAGCATCCAAATGTGGCGCTGGTTGGCGGTGACTGCACCACAACCCTTGGCCTTGCACGCACAGCAGCACCCGTGAATGATCCCGGTCAGGATGGGGACCTCTTATGAAAACAGAGACACGGCTGGAGGCACCATGTTGGAGCTGAGTGCTGGTGGTGTTCACTGAGTGGCCGAACGGCCACTACTGCACCTTCTCAGAAGATCTGGGCCAGCCCAGCCCTAGCTGCAGCAGTGACAGGGATGCCAAGGTGGTGGCCGATGGCAGGATGGCTGCACAGCATCATCCTCTGGTGGAAAGAGAATGTGGACTCGAGAAGATGGAGAGGTTGCTTACCCCTGTTTTTCAAGATATGTGGTTGATGTGCGGGAGTCTCCTACCCTGCTTTCCTCTCTCCCTCTTTCTCAGGGCCTTTGCCAGGTACTGTTGGGCGGTGAGGAGCGAGCTGGAGGCAGGTGCCTCCTCCCCGCCATGAGCTGAGGGGAGGACCAGAGGAGCTAGAGCACGGTCCCTGCCGGTGCGCAAGGGAGAGCTTTCTGGTCTCTCATGGAAGGGCGTGAGTACAAGCGCTGTTGTTGACGTGTGCCTCAGTGTTGTGACAAATGCTGCCAATGGGTAAGTTGTCTCTCTGTCCTGAAGGACATGCAACGGTCATGGCAGCCGCTGGTCGCTGGACAGCCTTGAGTGTTGTGCAGAGAGAGGCTGAGGTTGGATGGGACCTCTGGAGGCCTCTAATCTGGTCTCCTGCTCCAAGCGTTACTGGCATCAAAGACGATAGATCAGGTTGCTCAGGGCTTTGTCCAGTTGAGGATTTGTTCTGCCCTCTCTTGATGCATTGTTTGATGTTGATTGACATCCCTCAGCTCCCAGGCAGGTCATAAAGGTGAAGGTAGCTCAGATCTGATCTAAACCAACTGAAACAAAACACTACCTGGGCTGGCATGAGAGCAGGTGATGGTAGATGTACGTCAGCAAGACCCAGGTTCACCCCAAAGCTTGAGCAGGTGTTGAAATTAGCTTTCCTGTGAGTAGCAAGCTCAGCTCCTGAACTCTTGAAAGTCTTTGTGTGCCACCAGACGCATCTCAGGGGCTCGTCTCTGCTGGTTGTTTCGCCCTAGGGTTGACATCCATCGGAAGGAGAACGCCGGCGCTGCTGAAAAGCCCATCACCATCCATGCCACGCCAGAGGGGTGCTCCGAAGCGTGTCGCATGATCCTTGATATCATGCAGAAGGAGGCTGATGAAACTAAATCGTAAGTATGATATTCAGTGCCCCGGCTCAGCAAAACAGGCAGGTTTGGTGGAATGGAGGTGCGTTCAGCCATCGGCGGAGAAGCCTCCATCTTCTGTCACTCCCCCACCCCCTGAGAGAACTGCTGGCTTTTGGAGTCTCAGGATAGAGCTGTGAGTCAGCTGATAACTTTACAACTTCATAACTTCTCCATGGTGTCGTTGATGGCACTGTAGAGGCCAGGTGGGTCCAAAGAGTCTGTAGGAAACCTTGGAGAACAAAACCCCATGAAATGCCATTGGGCTTGGGAAGTCCCTGAGCTCCCATTCCCCAGAAGCTGAGGAGATACAGTGGTGGTTCTCCTCCTTCCACCACGTTGCTAGTGGCCCTCACTGGAGATAGGTTTCCTGGCCAGATGGACCTTTAGATTCGATTTTTTTCATCCGTTTTAGAGCAGAAGAGATTCCCTTGAAAATCCTAGCACACAACAGTCTGGTGGGGAGGTTGATTGGCAAGGAGGGCCGCAACCTCAAGAAGATCGAGCAGGACACCGGCACGAAGATCACCATCTCCCCGTAAGTCCTGGCAAACACCAAGCCATTCCCCTCCATCCAACATGGTATGGGCAGCGCTGGAGCCAGAAAACAGAGCAGTTGTGTTCTCCCATGCATGTTCCCCATCCCAGTTGGGTGTTCTCTATCCCATGTGGATGGTGGCATTGGGCAGGGAGAGGGAGTGTGGTCCCACACTGTCATCTTTGATTTGAGTTTTCTTGTATGTAACCACGTCTTGGGTTTTGTCTGTGGGCCAGTTTGCAGGATTTAACCATTTATAACCCCGAGCGGACCATCACGGTGAAGGGCAACACAGAGGCGTGCTCCAATGCTGAAGTGGAGATCATGAAGAAGTTGCGAGAGGCCTACGAGAACGACGTGGTGGCCGTCAGTGTAAGCTCCCTGCATGAGATGTCCCTGTTTCAAAACCATTGCTTAGGTGGCCAGAAGAAAACTGGGGGAGGTTGTTGGTCTGTTCCAGCAAGGGTTGACCCTCACCCATCATGTCCACATTATGTGACGAGAACCCCAAAAACCCCACTCTGCCTTTCACACATTTCTCCATGTATTTGCTTTCCCAGCAACAAGCTAACCTGATCCCTGGCCTGAACCTCAGTGCTTTGGGCATCTTCTCAACAGGACTGTCCATGCTTCCATCCACACCGGGGGCCCGAGGGGCTGCAGCGGCTGCCCCGTACCACCTGTTTGCAGTAAGTCCAAGAGGTTTTGGGGTGTGGGGGACATGTTGGGGGCAGAGTGGTCCGAAGACTCTCCTGCTGTAGCTCTTGGGTTTGGGCGGACACAGTAGCTGTAGGAGTCATCTCGTGGGGAGCCTTGAACAAGATCTCCGACTCTTGGACATTTGGGAAGATGCGCATCACAGCGGTGAAGGGGAGAGGACAGTGGATGAACGTGGCTTGTCTGTCCTTGGATTTAGCTCCCTGGGAAGATCAGCTGCATCCCCATGTTGTGTTGAGCATGGTCTCATGTGTTCAAGGGCTTGTAGTGTCCCAAGGCTGCTGCACTCTGAAGGTGGCTGGGAACAGCCTGTGCCAATGATGGCATGGAAAGGTGGTCTTCAGTCCTGACCCCAAACCCACCGCTGTTTGCGATGGTGTGGAGTCGGTTGTGCCCTGCAGGTCTGGTCCCGGTGGCCACATGAACCTGCTGGCATCGCCGCAGGGCGTGCGGAGCATGGTGTGAAAGGGGATGGAGCAGCGTGCCCTGTGCAGCCATCAGCCTTGTCCCTGCCCTGGCACCCAAAGGGCCATGCTTGCTGGCAGCTGAGCAGTGAAGGGGAGAGGACAGTGGATGAACGTGGCTTGTCTGTCCTTGGATTTAGCTCCCTGGGAAGATCAGCTGCATCCCCATGTTGTGTTGAGCATGGTCTCATGTGTTCAAGGGCTTGTAGTGTCCCAAGGCTGCTGCACTCTGAAGGTGGCTGGGAACAGCCTGTGCCAATGATGGCATGGAAAGGTGGTCTTCAGTCCTGACCCCAAACCCACCGCTGTTTGCGATGGTGTGGAGTCGGTTGTGCCCTGCAGGTCTGGTCCCGGTGGCCACATGAACCTGCTGGCATCGCCGCAGGGCGTGCGGAGCATGGTGTGAAAGGGGATGGAGCAGCGTGCCCTGTGCAGCCATCAGCCTTGTCCCTGCCCTGGCACCCAAAGGGCCATGCTTGCTGGCAGCTGAGCTTCACCTGATTTTGTAGGCAAGGGTTTTCCTCTTCCTCGGGGTGCCGTGGTGGCTGAGACCTGGGGCAAAGCAACCCTGGGAAGCGGTTTCAAAACCAGTGAGATCGCACACAGGCAGGGATGGTCCAGCATTGGGAAGACAGGTTGGCCAAAGTGCTGCTGGGGAAGGTCCATCCCCAGCCTGCGAGCCCCTTCAGAGCACCCTCAGGGTGAGCAGGCTCTGGGGCCTGTCTCAGTCTCTCTAAATATGCCTGCTGAGATGCTTTGGATGCACGGCAGCCGGCGCGCGGGTTCATTTACTTGTGCTGTTTTCTTTTCCTGGCGACGCCAGCAGCAGAGCGGTCGGAGGAGAACGGTGAGTGCCGGGCTGGCGGTGCGGAGGGGCGGATGAGTGTGGTGTGCATGATGGCCCCGCAGGGCACTGAGAAGGTTGGTCTGTCCGTCTGCACTGCCAGCCCGCCGAGGGGAGGATGCTCTGCCTGCGTCAGCTGCCCGAGCAAGCACAGCCTTTGGGAACTGTCTGCTTGGGCGTTTGTTGGTGTGATGGGGAGGAGCTGGGTGGGCTCCTTCACTTCAGAGCTTTGCGTGGCCCTTTTCAAGCCACCCTGGCGAGTCCAAGAAGAGCTATTGCTTCTGCTGTGATCTTTTCTATGACCATGTCCTCAACAGGACCTGGGGCTGGTGGCCATTGCTTAAACCAGAGCTTTAGAGACTCGACAAGGATGGAGGATGGGGAAGGAGGAGCTGGGGATGTGCAGTGCCATCCCTGGGCTGTGAGGACTGGCTGGGCAGGAGAGGGCATGTTGGTGTAGGAGACACGGAGCAGCCCGTGGCCAGAAGCAGAGGGTGGATGGGGGGAGCATGAGCTCAGTGCAAGGAGGAGCAAAAAAAACCCCAGCGCAGTGGGTTCAGGGGGCTGGGAGCGAGAGTGGTGTCTGCTGCATGCAGGGGAGCTGGGTCTTCTCCTCTGCCTGAGTAACCATTGTTTGCCGGTAGCATCTGGTTGTGCTTGCCTGAATCCAGAGCAGGATGGAGTTGTGTCTGCTGCCAGGAGAAATGTCGGCTGGGTTTGAGACATGGAAGAGTTGAAGAGGGGTAGGGTTGTGTTGGGTTGGGTTGAGTTGAGCTGGGTTGAGTTGGGTTGGGGTGCTGGCATGCACCCCTTGCTTTTGGCCATGGAGAGACCCCAACTGCTTTTTCCTCATCCCCAGCTGGGGTGGTGGTGGGGAAAAGCTTCTTCAGCCTTTGCTTTTTCTTCTCTTGGAACTGGAGAAGGGGAATGGTGATGGAAACCAGAGCCAAACCAGATGTTTTGCTCGGTTTTCACCAAACCCCCACCTTCTCCACAGGGGACCCATGGTGGTTACAGCATGGTTTTGGCATTCCAAGGTTGCAGCTGCTCCCAAAGGCTGTAGGGACCCATTTTCCACCATAGACACTGGCAAGACACAGCAGTGGGGAGGGACTGGGGGTAACTGGGAGCCCCCATCCACTTCCCAGCCCTGTTGCCCTGTGCTGCAGGCACAGGATCTGGGCTGCAGCTCACCCCAGTGCACCCTTGGGTGCACCCATGCGCTCCAGGAGGGGTTTTGAGGGCTGAAGGGTTGTCCCCATGTCCCTGCCAGGCTCACAGTGGTGGCATGTTGCTCAGTGTCAGGTTGGGGGCAGTCAGGAAGGGGCTGGCACATTGGAGACATCACTGACCCTCATTTTCTCTCTGGCCATAGAGCTCCTCGGCGTACCTCTCCGGTCTGTACGGAGCCCCCCCAGCCAGCGCCTTCCCCCATCAGAACCCCGTAAGTGCCCCCAGCACCTCGCTCCTTGGGCACCTTGGGAGGGTGGGCAGGTTGCCACAGCAGGCAGCCACTGCCCTGGGATGCTGGTTCCCTGACCGTTTTGCTCTTCCATGCCCTCGCAGCTGCCGGAGCAGGAGGTTGTGAACTTGTTCATCCCGACGCAGGCAGTGGGGGCCATCATCGGGAAGAAGGGGCAGCACATCAAGCAGCTGGCACGGTTTGCCGGTGCTTCCATCAAGGTGAGCAGGGCGCTGCGGGGCCACTCCTGGGCTTCGTGCCTCGGTTTCTCCTTCCTACTGCCGAGGGCAGCAAACAAGAGCCCTTGGGGAGCACTTTTGCTCCACAAATTGGTAGAAACCCAGTTGTGCAACACCCTGGTATTGCCCCTGCTTGCTTGGGAGGAGATGCCCTTGCTGGGGGGGGGTGATGCCTTGCTTAGGGGGGTGTCCTGCACTGGGGGGGATGTCCCACATGGAGAAGGTCTTGCTCACGCTCCCTCTCCCCCATCCCTCTGCAGATCGCCCCAGCAGAAGGCCCCGAGGCCAGTGAGCGGATGGTCATCATCACCGGCCCACCCGAGGCTCAGTTCAAGGTGCGCTTGTTGTGGAGGCGGGGGGCTCTTTGCTCCGTACCATGGGTTTGGGTGCTGCTGGACATCGGCACATCGGCACCCTTGGGGACAGGAGGGTATGGCCAGGACCACTGCCCACCAGTTTTAATTCCCTTATGTCTTCTCAGGCCCAGGGGAGAATATTTGGGAAACTGAAAGAGGAAAACTTCTTCAACCCAAAAGAAGAAGTGAAGCTTGAAGCCCACATCAAGGTGCCTTCCTTCGCCGCCGGCCGCGTGATAGGCAAAGGTGGCAAGACGGTAGGTGGGTGGGTGCAGGGATGCTCCCCCTGCCCTGGGGTGACAGAGCTGGGCATCGCCTGTCGCCCCTGCCTGCCCTGGGGGGCAAAGCCTGGGTGCTCCATGGTCGCAGCAACGTCTCGACCCCAGCCCTGTGTCCTGGTGGTGGCTCTCGTTGGGTGGCCACAGTCCCAAGGCGGGGGACAGGGTGCAACCCTTGGCAGCTTGGTGCTGTGCACTGGCTCAGAGCCGGGGTGACACCAGCAGCAGAGGATTTTAGGCTCTTCCACACCAAACCCCTCCCGGGACTCTACCATTTGCTCCAGGTGAACGAACTGCAAAACTTAACCAGTGCAGAAGTCATTGTGCCACGAGACCAAACCCCAGACGAGAATGAGGAGGTCATCGTTAAAATCATCGGGCATTTCTTTGCCAGTCAGGTAAGGTTTGGCTGTGGCTTTGCTGATATTCCCAGCCGGTTTCATCCCCTGAGGAAAGCCCCTGGGCTGGCCGGCGGCCACAAGCACCGCGGAACAGAGCGATGCTCAAGCAGCGCGGTGCTCGTGGCCCGTGCCACCACCGTGCCTCCTGACCACTCGGTCTGGCCCGCCCCCCAAAATTCAGGCTATAGAGGAAGCGCAAGTTAAAACTGCATGGTGCTCGGCTTGCAGGAGCAGCGCGGCTCCTTCTTTAGCACATCCTTAATTACGCCTGTGCCAAACCGCGGGCTTGTCCCCCAGTTAAAAGCTCGGAGGGCGATGAGTGGGGAGATGCTCAGTTGCGGGTGGGTGGGGGATTGGGGAGGACCAGTGGTGCTGGCCCTGACCCCCTGCTCTTGCTTCCCCCCCCTCCCCAAGACTGCACAGCGCAAGATCAGGGAAATTGTACAGCAGGTGAAGCAGCAGGAGCAGAAACACGCTCAGGGCGCCCCCGCCACGCAGCACAACAA